TTTTTTTTTTTTTTTTTTCAACGTTTATTTATTTTTGGGACAGAGAGAGACAGAGCATGAACGGGGGAGGGGCAGAGAGAGAGGGAGACACAGAATCGGAAACAGGCTCCAGGCTCTGAGCCATCAGCCCAGAGCCCGACGCGGGGCTCTAACTCACGGACCGCGAGATCGTGACCTGGCTGAAGTCGGACGCTTAACCGACTGCGCCACCCAGGCGCCCCCAGATTGAGCATTTAAAACGTCAAGCCAGGGGCGCCTGGGGGGCTCAGTCGGTTAAGCTTCAGACTTTGACTCAGGTCACAATCTCATGGTTTGTGAGTTCAAGCCCACGTCGGGCTCTGTGCTGACAGCTCAGAGCCTGGAGCCTGCTTCGGATTCTGTCTCTCTCTCTCTCTCTCTCTCTCTCTGCCCTTCCCTGCTTGTGCTCTGTCTCTCTCAGAAATAAATGAACATTAAAACAAAATTTTAAATGTCATGGCTGATCAAGTCACCCAATGACCTTGAATGTGTTCAAAATAAAATTCACAGTCCAAAAAGTCCTTATCCTGTCCCACAGGGCTATTAGTGATCTGGTACCCTGCTACCCTCTGAACTTGTCTCCTGTTCTGTCTCCCTTAACCCTGCATTCCAGCTCCAATGGCCTCCTTGCTGCTGCTGCAACAGGTCAAGGGCTTTTTTTTTTCCCTCAGAGTTTTTGCACCTCACCCTCTGGAGAACTTTTGCCCCAGGAAGTCCTGTGGCTTGATTTTTCACTTTCCTTAGGTCTCTGCTGAATGTCACAGATGGTCTTACTAGTAAGGAACCTTGAGAGAGGACAGGCAGGGCATATCCGAGACTAGTCACTCGATTATTTATTGAACCACCACTTGGAGTGCTTACGGCATGCCAGATACTTTTCCAAGCACATCCCATGGGTTATAGAAGCAGGTTGTAATAGCTAACATTTATTGAACACTCAGCCTGTGCCAGGCATGGTGCTAAGCACATTGTAAATGTGAACTCTCTTAACCCTCACCGTACCCTATGAAGTAGACGCTGCCATGATCCCAGTCTTAAATCTGAAGCACAGAGAGATCAAATAATGTGCCCAGTATCACTCCAGTAGTGGGTAGAGGTGCTGAGTTTGAACCCAGGTTTCATTACTGATGCCACTTGAGTTAAGGGATGAGGCTTGAGTGGAGCTTTTGAAGAGGGCTGAGCAGGCATTTGTCAAACTTGTCAAGTAGAGGTAGGGCACCCTCCCTCTCCTTCTCCCCCCAGCCCACAGAGAGCATTGCTTATGGGCAGGTGCAGAGGTAGGCAGCCGGCCTTCACACTTTCCAGGAGAGGGTGTGGCTAAATTGTAAAGTGCAAGGTTGAACAAGGCAGCTGGTGGAGAAGCATAAGGATATATTGTGTTTTTCCGGGGCCTGCAGAGAAAGCTTAAGGAGGCCGCTTCTTCCTGCAACTGCAAAGCGTGGTCCTTGTCTGCTCAGGAGTCTGGAAGTGAGCGGCGGCGGTAGTCGTAGAGGCCTTTCAAGTCCTTGAAATCCTTATTGGTCCTGCCGGCCAAGGGACTTTGGAGGAGGGGGTGGGGGTGGGAAAGGAAGCCGTGCGAGATAAAGGGGAGGTGCATTTTCAGAACCGGGCTAGCTCCGTCCTCGCTTTCGGACCGGCCGCGGGTGGTCTCTCCTGCAACTTCGCGAGCGGACCCCACGGCGGACCCCATGGCCGACCACAGGTTCAGGCCCGTGTCCGGGGAGAAACCCTGCTGCGACATTTCCAAGAAAGCCCAGATCTGTCTCTGCGTGGTTTTCGGTCTCCTGGTGGTGGTGATCATCGCGGTGGTGGTGGGGATCGTGATGTGGCGCCAGCCGCCCCAGCACCGGGAGTGGAAGGGGGCGGGCACCACCGCCCATTTTTACGAGATAATCCTCGGACGGTGCTACACCTACACCCAAATCGTGCGACCCGAGCTGGGGTGAGTCGGTGTCCGGTGGCGCGCGGCGGGGCACCGCGCGCGAAAACAAAGCATCTTCTATTCCGGGTCAGCGGAGAGCCCGCCGGCCAGTGCCGGCTGGGGAGCGCTGGCCTTGACGTTCCGCGCCGCTCGCGGGAGCGCCTGGCGTTGGCACCTGCGCGCGCGGGCGGGCGGGGAGCGCGCGGTTCGGCGGCCGAACCCTGGGCGCAGACGCCCGCCTTCTGGGCTAGGTGCGCGGCGCCGGCGGGGCCCAGCTCCGCGCTCGCCGCCGCGCTGCAGGCGCGCAACTGGTGGGCGCGGAGGATCGCGGGCACTCTCTGCTTTGCAGGGGACTTCTGTGCGCGGGCTCTGGCCCCGGACAGTTACCGGTGACACCTGCCTGGTTAGGAGGCTTCTGGAGCCTGCAGGGGTGTGTGTGTGTGTGTGTGTGTGTGTGTGTGTGGCGGGGGGAGCGGGAGGGGAGGGGGGAGGATGGCATCAGAGGGGCCAGACCACTACAGTGAGTTTTATTCACGAATATAAAACAGCACTTATTGCGCCCCCAGGGATAAATGGGACAGAGAGCTCAGTGACAAAATTAAACCAAAACACTAACTTTGGAACGTGAGATAAAACTTACACTGTCAGGTGCATCGGTTCGACGCATCGGTACCCACCCTGAAAACACCACCCACTTCAGTCTGCGGAACCTTTCCAGAGGGTTCCTCTTTCCTCCTCCCACCTAATCACTCCCAGAGGGAACCGCTTTCTTGACTTTCATTCCCAGGGTTTGGTTTCACCCACAGAACTGATTTTTGAAGTTGTGCATGAAGTAGAACCAGCCGGAAGTAAAAAGCTACTTCTCAGGCTGCCGAAGGCGGGCACCGGGAGCCACAATTTCTGTTGGGAGTGTGGGATCGCGCAATGAATTCCGCCTGCGAACCACCGGCAGCCCCGGGAGCCGAGCGGTAAAATCCGCACCCCAACCCCCACCCCGCCAGCCTCCCCGCGCGCTTTCCGCCCCTCGATTCTTGCACATTTTTTCCAGGCCAACGATTGCCGATTGCCGGGGTCGGTCCCGTGAGTGTTTTGCTTCCCAGTAATTAAATAGTTAATTGAGAAATCAGAAGTTGAAGCGTTTCCCTTAGGCTACACTTAAAGTGTTGATAAAATCAAGCGCTATCTATTCTGACTTGGTAATGATCGACGCGGACGTTTAAGTTTCATCTTCATGTAACAGTTTTAAGATTTCTGTTGTTGTTCAATGTAAATTCACGCTATTGGTTAGATTATCACCACCGGGTAGCAAGCCCGAGGCTCCGTAGGGACCACGTGACTTTTTTAATGTTTGTCAGGGCGCCGGGTCAATATTAAACACACACACGCAGACACTATGTAAATGGGTTAATAATTCATACGGTACCACGTGCTTGTCACTTAAGAAATATGAAATCACCGAGTCCCGTAACAACTAACTGTGTGAGGCACTTGACTGCGCCCCCATTTTAGAAACGAAAAAATTGAAATAGAGAGTTTGAGTCAATTGCCCAAAATTTGGATCCAGAAACTGAGCTCACCCCCTGTGCTGTGTTGCCTATGTATGTCCTGTACGTAGAGTGACCACAGAATTTACTATGTCTGGGACATTTTGAAGACAAAGGGGATGCTGTTACTAATTATGCTGAGTCCATAGACTTATACCAGAACGTATGGTCCCTTTATCCTCGGAGAGTTTAAGGACACAACTTCGGGAATCACACTGGCTGGGGTTTAAATCTCGGCTCTGTCAGTCACAGTGTAGTTTTGCACAAGATACTTTCTCTGGGCTGCAATGATCTCAGAATGGAGAATGGAATGATGTGGAAATTCTTCCACATGTGGAAATTCTGAGGATTAGGAGGAATAATCCTGATACATACAAAGTGTTAATGCTATTGTTTTTGGAAAGGCAGTATCACAGTCACCTTTTAACAATAATAAATAGAGATCAAGGCCAACATGAAAATGGATACCTAGTATTAAAGCTATTTAAATTACAATTCAGTGTATCTGTACCTCCATGTTGTTTCCTTTTTTTTTTTAAGTTCATTTATTTTGACAGAAAGAGAGTACAAGCAGGGAAGGGGCAGAGAGAGAAGGAGAGACAGAATCCCAAGCAGATTTCGCACTGTCAGCACAGAGCCGGGTGGCAGGCTTGAACTCCCAAACCCCAAACCCTGGGATGAGATCAAGAGTTGGAAGCTTAACCACTGAACCACCAGGTGCCCCAAATTTATGTTGTTTCTAATTTTTTGTTTTACTGTTATTTTTTAAAAAATTAAACACATGGCCCTGGAGATCTTTCCGTGTTAGCACAGGTAGATTTACCTCATTATTAAAAAAAACAAAATTTTTTTTTTAGTGTTTATTTTGTTTTTGAGAGAGAGAGAGAGCATGCATAGGGGAAGGGCAGAGAGAGAGGGAGACACAGAATCTGAAGTAGGCTCTGAGCCATCAGCAGAGAGATCATTACCTAAGCTGAAGTAGGACACTTAACCCACTGAGCCACCCAGGTGCCCCTGATTTATCTCATTCTATGGGTAGAGGTAACTATTTCGGTCCACAAAAATTCGTTTCCAATTTTCTTTTTTTAATCTTAAAAATATTTTTATTTATTTTTGAGAGAGAGAGAGACAGAGAGAGAACGAGAACGAGTGGGGGAGGGGCAGAGAGAGAGGGAGACACAGAATCTGAAGCAGGCTCCGGGCTCTGAGCTGTCAGCACAGAGCCCGATGCAGGGCTCGACCCCAAGAACCGTGAGATCATGATCTAAGCCAAAGTCAGACACTTAACCAACTGAGCCTTCCAGGCACCCCAAAGAAATTGAATTTTTAATTTAAAAACTACCAAGAAAGAAATCTCCAAGCCCAAGTGGTTTTAGTGTAGAATTCTTCCAGATATTTAAAGAAGAATGAAAACCTATCCTACACAATTTCTTTCAGACATAGAAGAGGAAGAAATAATTCCCAATTTTTTTTATAAAGCTAGTATTGCCCAAACCAGACAAAAACATAAAAATAAAAAATGAGAAAAGAAAGAAAAGAAAACCTCAGATCAATATTCTTCATAAATACAGACACAAAAATTCTGTTTTTTAAAAAAATTTTTTGACATTTATTTATTTTTGAGAGACAGAGAGAGTCAGAGTGCAAGCAGGGGAGGGGCAGACAGGGAGGGAGACACAGAATCCAAAGCAGGTTCTAGGCTCTGAGCTGTCAGCACAGAGCCCGATGCAGGGCTTGAACTCACAAACTGTGAGATCATGACTTGAGCTGAAGTCTGATGCTTAACCAGTTGCCCCTATTTATTTCTTCTTACGGGCATTCTTTATATATTGTAGATCATGTATGTAGTATTTTCTTTCTCTCTGCTTGTTGTCCTTGGAACACTTATAACTTCTGTTGCTCCCCTGACTCTTGAGACTTTAACTTCAAGGTTATGACTCTGGTCACTAATCTTCTTTCTATGTTGTTGAAAGTCTGGCATGCTATTTCCCGTGTAGTCATACTTCTCAGCATCAGAAATCTTTACCCTGATGAATTCTGAGATCATTCCTGAGATCCTCTTTTCCTATCCACTCCTTGCTGGGTCACTGTTTCCTGCTTTGGTCTTTTATACTGGGCCAGAACTTCACTTTATGTCAATTATTCAACCTTGTAATTCCATTTTGACCTGGTATTTCTAGTTCTTCTTACCTCTGTAGGTCTTTATTATAACTACGTGTTAATATACACAAATTTGACATGTTACGTGATCCCAGGCAAAACAAAACCAGTATCAAAAACAATGTATATGACAATCGTAACTATATAAAACTGAATGTAAATGGAAGAAAGGCAGTGAAATACGGTACTGCTGGGCTAAGGGAATTGTTAACGGCTGATTCTTATTATTCCGCCACTGATTTTAGGCCTTTAGTAAGTTTCTTGTAGATTTCTTTCCTTATTATTCTTCAGTTTCAAATGGTCTGCAATTGGCATCTTGCTTATCTGTGACTACATAATAAACGACTCCAAAACTTAGTGATCTAAAGCATAAAGCATTTCATTATTTTACATGACTCTTGGATCAACTGGGCTTAACTACGTGTTTCTTCTGCTCCTTGTGATGTTGGCTGGGACTGGAGTAATTTGGGGGCTCAACTAAGTTGACATATCCAAGATACAGGGGACATCACTCACATGAGGGACACCATGGAGGGGTCTGCTGAAAGGCTGGCATTACCGGGGATGCTGGAAAGGTGGACCATCACAATGTCTCTCTGCTGTCTCAGAGTCTGGGAGTCCCAGCCCTGATGTTTTGACCCTGTGAACATGTTTTACTGGCAGCCCCTGGAAGTGATTACTGCCTCATCACCATTTCTTGGTTTGATATTCTTTTACCGGGAAAGACTAGGAATGAAAAGCAGCTTTATTTTCCAACCCAGCAAATCCTGACTTGGAAATGTTTGCCCTTGATTCTGTCTAAAAATGAATCTGTACCTTATCGTGTGCGGTGAGAAGAAATGAGGCGCACCTCTGACATTCTGCCTGGAAATCTCCTTAGGCAAATTCCTAAGTTCCTCAAGTATTTCTATTACTGCGGACGACAGTGTTACCACAACCATCTAACATGGGTCAACTTTTTCTTAGGCTCCGGTGACAGTTTCCTTCCTGTGTGTCCAGCCTTTAGGAACAGTCCCCTTAAGGTCTTTCTGTCTTTCTTTTTTCTTTTTAAAGTTTTATTTACTTAAGCAATCTCCACACCCAAGGTGAGGCTTAAACTCAGAACCCTGAGATCAACAGCCCTACACTCCTCTGAGCCAGCCGGGTGCCCCTCCCTGAGGTCTGTCTTACCCCAGCCTGCCACTCACTCCCAATGCTGGTGCCACGCTGCCTCTCCAGGGAGAGGAAGAGAGTGAGAGAGAGGTGAGGAGGGGCAGGGATGGGGGGAGAGGAGATGTTTATTTTAAGGCATTAGCTCCCACGATTGTGGCAACTGAC